CCCCCCCACACACACACACACATACCAAAGTCAGCCCTCTGAAACATTTACTAGCCTCATGTGGGGAAATCGCTGAGGATTATCCCCAATAACCTGTTTAACTTAATCCTTATCACAAACACATGAATAATAAATCTCCACCCCTCCACTTTTCATCTTTTCTCCCATTTTTTCCCTCAGATGGATTGAGGAATATCTCACCTTACTCTCCATCACCCTCCCTCCCTTCTTCTCTCCCTCACACACTCACTCCATCTGCTTCACGAGCATGAGCTCGCTGCCTTCTCTGCCTCTCTGTGTGTCTTTGAGCTTCTCCAGCGTATGCGCTCTACCTCTCTGCTTCTCAGCCGCTTTCTTATTTTCCTGTACTTCCACAAATTCCATACCTCTTCGTTTCTCTCCCTCCCTTATCCCGGGACAGGAAAAGGAGCAGTAGCTGAGAGAACCATGGAAGACGACTGACCACAATAACAGGAAAAGGAAGTGGGCAGTGACCTGTGTGAGAAAGGGGGACTGTGGTCAGACAGCTGTGGAGCAACAGTTTTAGGTTTTGGATGAGAAAACCACATCAGAGTGGAGAGGAAGAAAAAGAGCAAGAGCGACTGAGAACCTGTTGGATTCACACCTGAGGAAGAAAACCTTGACAACCTGCAGAAAGGGAGTTAAATAGAGACGATTTGGGGGAGAAAAACTTCACATTTCAAGTGATATATTTTCTTATTATTTTGGACAAACACCTTGGACATTCTTATTTTATTTGTACTTATTTAACACTTAAATTGAGCTGCTTTGCTTTGGACATCGCTTGGATTCATTCTCATTTGAGAAGCATTAAGAAAATTTTTGATCAACTTTCTTAACTGGCTTGACACTCCTGAGGAAAGGGGAAAAACTCTATAGACAACACACAAACACCTGCCACTTTCTTTCAGTAGAAAGAAGAGGGGCGAGGAACAAGAGGAATAACTGGGTGGTTTTAGCCACCCCGATCATCTGAACTCCAGTTTCGGGGAACAAGTGCACAGCCTGACGGAACCGGAGCTTCATTTTACACCAAAACAATTTGACCCGCAGTGCTCATTTTTCAAGGTAAGTTTTCTTTCTCTGTCCTAATTAGAAAAGTAATACCAAGAGTTTTCTGTGTGCATGAATGGTGTGAGCTGGTGCCAGGCAGAACATCCAGAGCTTTCATGTTCAGCAAATGGGACTGTGAATATACATTTCACATTTGAGTGTAGAGCTGTGTACTGCAGCACCGCCAGAAAAATGTAACCCAAATCCCTTGAAAATGCTCCAGGCTACTTTCCCATTCACTCCAGGGCGAACGCTGGTAAAACTGTCTCAAAAGAAAGGTACAGAAATAACTTGGGCTGACAGTCATAACCCCTTTCAGGACAGGGTGTCAGCACCCGTCACAGCTCACATATGTTACGGCAATGATCTCGGACAGCTCGGTGTAGATTTGAATGCAGTAATTGAGTGCTGACCTTCCTCCCTCCCCCTTCTTCTTCTTCCCCAGAGGGTTGGAACTGTCATTCCTGGAGACAGACGGCTGTGGTCATTAAAATGATACGAGGTGATTTGTAGACACAGCTAAGGAAAAATTTAACAAAATCCATCAGGAGGTCTCAAGTTTTAAGGGGTTCTGCAATCACAAGAAAGCAATTCATCAAAGCTGTCAAGTTCAAGTTGGTTTGCCTATGAAGTATTGATGATGCATATCTAATATTAAAATGTAGTGAGGATCTTGTCACTTGAATGGTGTCATTTTGTCAGCTGAAGCCTTTCCTAATCTACATATGCAATGTGTTTGAGACCTAATTTATCAGTCTATTGTGCTGTGAAAGACAGGTTAAACCAAACACCTTGGCAAGAATTCAACACTTAATTGTTATGGGTTCATAGAGGTGTTCTAAAACAGTGCTTTGTTGTGATTTTGTCCAGAAGTATGTGTGTCATCTATCTTTCCTGTTACTCTGCAGTGGCAGATTTGCTCCGAGTGATTTGATTTGGGTTGTTACATCGAAAGCTGTTGATGCGGTTAAACCCAGTGGTCTTAATTCCTGAAGAGGGAACTATCAGGGAAAATCCTCTGGGAGCCATCTGGGAGACTTCGCCCACACACACACAAACAATCGCACGTACACACATACGAACCCAAGATTCATGATTAGAACCGTTCATTCATTCAGATACATGTCAGTGAGGCTGACAAGCTGTCCAGCTGTGGTGATGTTGGTTCAGCTGAACTCGCTGATTACTGCTGAAAGGTTAAGGTTTTATTCTTTGCGAATGACCTGCATTCCTCTTTTTATGTGACATACTACACTCAGTTTGAATTTGAATTGTTTTGTACACTTCGACAAATCGGTTTCTGCATCTAAATTCATAAGAAAAGGAAAAGGGAATGGCAAAAATATAGAGAATAAAAAAGCCCAGCACTTCTTGAATCGCCCACCACCTTTCATGCCGGTGTTTTAAACTAAAATTGTCTCATGTAGAGCAATGAGTCAGAGCTGTTTTGATCAAACCTGGAAAATTACTTAGTTTACTACATCACACAATTTTTTGAGGCGTTGTGCGATGTGTTAGACCTCAAAACATACAACTTGAATGACTCTCAGTTACTACTACACCAAATTTGAGCTTTGTAAAACTGACGGCCATCTTGGACTCAGTTGACTCCAAGTTATTCCATTGCTGTCAAACATTAGTTTATAAATTTAAATTCAATTTGTCTGAGGGTTCATGAAATATTTTGCTAACAGAAAAATAGGGTTTCTAGTAGTTAATAATAAAGGTTAAAGCAACAATGTCATTCAATATGTAGCGCTTAAATTATGTGTTGGGGATGACTCTCGGCCAGGGCTTAATTTGTAAATCTATCAAAGCCAGAACGCAAATAGTGGTGGGTGGGGTGTGGGGGAGGGGTTTTTGGGGTAGCGGGGTGTCTGGGGGTCCTCCCCCAGAAAAGTTTGAGTAAAGTAGATGTGATTTCCTGCATTTTGGTGTATTTTAACAGGTTGTTAATCATTTACATTTACATTTACTTACATTTGTAAACACTCCGCTTCTGTCAAGCATCCTACACTCCCCCTCCCACTTACTCAATAGTTCCAAGCCCAACTCTTTTCCACCAAACTCACTGTCCGACTCCACATGTGAAACCTCCGGGCACCTCCTCCGTCTGTTCATTGATGCTGCCTGTGGGCTCCTGCCCGCATACGACTGTTTGTTTAGCTCAGCACTCACCCCCACCACTCTTTCAGGGGCGGAGATTTATTTATTTATTTTTTGGTAAAGGCGGAAATGCTTATTTGAAGAGGCAGATCGTATGTGATACTAAGAAGTTGTAAGTGGCTGTTGTGTTTAAAATAAGTGTTTATGTAATTATTTTTCAGTTTACATGTCCAATATAAGTTTTATTTGTTCAAGGCAGTCGTATTTGTTCATTATTTTATTATTACTAAGCCTGAGAGTTATCGGATCCAAGCAAATACTTACTAAAATGCACCCTGTCAAAATAAGGGAATTCCCAGATCCTGTTCCTGGATCCTGTTCCCGGATCCTGTTCCCGGATCCGTTTCCGGCTCAAATTAAGCCCTGCTATCAGCTACTTCCACACCAGAGTTTTGTCCAATACATTTAAAATTGGCTTATTTTTGTTTTGTAAGTTCTGATGGTGGGCAGCACGGTGGCGCAACTGGTAGAGCTGCTGCCTCTCAGCGAGCAGGTCCTTGGTTCAAACCCCGGTCCAGGGGCCTTTCTGGGTGGAGTTTGCATGTTCTCTCCGTGCATGCGTGGGTTTTCTCCGGGTACTCCGGTTTCCTCCCACAGACCAAAAACATGCATGTTAGGCTGATTGGTAACTCTAAATTGTCCCTAGGTGTGAGTGAGAGAGTGAATGGTTGTTTGTCTCGTTTGTCTCTATGTGGCCCTGTGATGGACTTGCGACCCGTCCAGGGTGTACCCCACCCCTCGCACAGTGATTGCTGGACATGGGCACCAGCGACCCCCGTGACCCAAAATGGAATAAGCGGGTAAAGAAAATGGATGGATGGATGGATGGATGAAGTTCTGATGGTTGTGACAGCCATGTCTGTCTAAAAATTAGTCAGATGTATATGCAGCAATTTATTTTCAGCATTTCATTAACATCCAGTGGTTTATAAGATATTTTGCTAACAGACAAACATGATTAACCCTATGTTAATGGCACAGTTTTAAGCAAAGATCTACCACAAACATTTTGTGCTCACAGTAGGCAGTGGGACAATTTTAGGTTAATATTACACCAAATTGTAGCTCAAATGCTGTTAAACTGACTGAGCTGTGGCCATTTTCGTGTCGTCCATGGCTAATTATATGTGGTGGCCATCTTGAATTGGGCTGACTACATTGACTTCTGAGCGTCTCATTAAAACCCATTCAGGGGTTTGAGTTTAATTTTTTTTGAACATCTTTGTAAATAGAAGATTTGCTTTGCAGCACTTTCTTTTTCAATGTACTGACTTGAGCAGGAGGTTCCAAAAAACAAAACAAAAAAGGATTTTCAGAGAAAACAACAATTAGCATCAGATGAGGATTTGTCTGACGTCATTCGTAACTGTGAGGTAAAATCTGCATGATTCGACTCAGTGATGCTGCCATAGAGAACGATGTGTGTGTGTTTGTGCGTGCGTGTGTGTGTGTGTGTGTGGTAGCAGTGTGACCCGCTGACAGACAGATTGGTAGAAGCTGCTTTGTGATTAAACCTGTCTTAATCTGAAACAGACACAAATTTTAGTATGTGAAAGGCAAACAGCACAGGCTTAAGTTGACATGAGTAATTTAAAAAAGTCTGATTTCAATGTCATGACTGCAGACTACAACAACAGAAACATATTTAAACAGAATTTGGGTAAATTTGAAGCACAGTTACAAAGACGGTCTGTAATTTAAAACACTTTCACAAATAGATGACAAACATACATTAAACACGTTCATGATAGATGTGTTTGTCTGTCTTGTTTGGAAACAGACATTTTCATTTAATTATTTACTTTGATTCAGGAGTGTTGCCAGATAAAATTTAATTTACAAAGTGAACATTTAATTGAATGTTTTCAACTTCCATTTAACTTTAGATGTGCATAAAGTTGTGAAGTGTTCTGAACATTTTTCCGTGAGGCCTCTTGATTTCTCACAAAATGTAGGATCAATGGATTTATCCTCTGTGGGATCACAATACATATTTAGTTTAATGGTAGAGTGAGACATTTTACTCATTATTCTTAACCATTTTTATTATTTAATGTCTTAATTAAATGTAATTTTAGTTTTTTTTTTCCTTTTCTTTTGGTATATGGAAGTAACAAACTCATCTGATTAGTTTTCTCAGATGACAAATAAATATACAGCAGCTATGTTCAAGGTTCTAGGTTTTTTATTGTCATTCGCATCACATGTGGTACATGAGGTGGAATGAAATTGTGTACTCAAGGTCCCAGTTACACCCAAAACTAACAAAAATATAAAGTATAAAAGAAACATTATATTAGAATCTAAGATAAATGCTAAAGGATATATTAAAAGATCTAAGATATATGCTAAACACCAATATTGTAATATAATACGGTATATTAAACAGCAGCACAAACATGAGTGTATAGTGAGCAGATGGGTATGAATACAGCAGCATAAAGGCAAGAGATCAGCAGCATGGAGAATCAGCAGCATGGACAACAGCATGTCATTTTACTTCGAGCAAAATTTTTACTTAAATACATAATTCAGTTTCTGGAATCAGAATATATTATCTGTAATCTTTATGTCAACTCTCACACTGATTTTTTTTTAATTTTTTTTTTACAGTAAGTTACAAACTGAAAAAAACAACAACCTAAGAATAAAAAGTTTGACTGAATGTTAAGAAAATATCTAGCTAAAGGGAAGTTTTTGTCTATTTTCATCTTTTAAAAAATGGTAATTTGAGTAATAACAACAGTTACAAGAGGGAAAAAAAATGCTTGAAGCAAGCAGAAAATTTCTCTTACAGCCTTTAGGTGTGAAGATACAAGAAGGATGGAATAAAGGACGAAGACTTTGTC